TTAACAAAGAAAAGCCTTATCTGCTGTTGTGTGTGTGTGTGTGTGTGTGTGTGTGTGTGTGTGTGTGTGTGTGTGTGCGTGCGCGCATTATGTATTTAAAAAACCCAGACTCACTAAAAACTTATTTTAAATTTTTATTTAGCTCAAAATATACGCACTTTAGCACCTCAGATTTGATTTCATCATTTTTTCAAGTGAAACTTTTAAATTACAAACAGTAAGCACAGCAGAAATATGTAAAACTGTTCCCTTAAAAAATAAAGGCAAGTCAAAAACCTGATTTATTTATTTATGAAGAACAACTTCAGCTTTTTGGTGTCCTGATATAATATTCAAGTAGATTTTTTTTAATTTAAGAGTGAAGAATTTGATTTCTGAGGTTACTTGGTATTCTAAAGTTTAAAAAAATGAGGGCTTATATTGTCAAGACTGGAATTTGTGCAAGAAGTTTGTTTAGAAAAGTTCAGCCAATCAAAGAGCAAAAATACTTTCAAGTCAAGACTTTCTTTTCTCTTTTAAGGCACTTTAAAATGTCTGTGAATAAACCAGGCACAATTTTGGTCCAATGCTTTGCCTTTATCTATAATGAATTTGATTCCATCAATATTAATAATTATCCATCTTTTCTTTTAAAAAATCAAGGCATGCAGCTTACTATTTAGATAATTACCAAATGGAAAACCCATATTAACACTTTTACAGAGTGACCACATCAAGGACTTTCCACTTCTTTAAAACAGGAGGACAAGTAAATTGTTTTTATTTTATTATATTTGCATTTCAAGTTTCAAAGCAGATGTTTATAAGTATTGGTTTTTGTTGCCTGTTTATTTCCTTTAAAACCTTAGCCCAAAATAAAGCAGCTGTCTAGAAGAAGCTTCTTTTGTCACTGTCATCTGGGAGAAAAAATATAAATAAAAGTTTCTTGTATGTTCTCTGAATGCCAGGAAAATAAAATTAAGGGTCAATAAAAGATACTGCAATATATCTTGTTCCTTTCAAAATTGGAAGTCCTTCATGTAAATGAGTAAGTCTTCCTGGATGCATGAAACTCCATCCTTTTCTAGGTGATTCAATTGAACAGTTGTATCTCAGAAATTTGCATCCACCTCCCTGTAAAAAATAAATCAGAAATATCTCCTTAAAGATTTTACGTGACCCCACAGAAGTCAATACTCTCTAAGTAAAATGTATTGAATTAGATAACAATGATTGACATTACAATCCCATTCTCAAAGTATATTATTCTGGAGCAGTTGTAAATTTGGTTGAAAGATAGCAATAGGACTTAGACCTATATACTGTTCCATAGTGCTCTACAGCACTCTGAACGATTTACAATGTCCGTACTCTACTTTCCATATTTTCATTTTCCTTGCACTAAAATGAGATGATATACAAATTTTGTATATAAAAGATACAAATCCAAATATACAAATTTTATTTTTTTGATTTACAACTCTAATTCCTTCCACCCACCCTATACACACTAGTTGAAATCCAGTTTTGAAAAGAGATTAACTATAATACAATGAATTTCAACATCCATAAGTGAAATCTTGCAGTTTATATCCAACTTACTGGGTGACTCAGTCATTAGCAATCACCTTATAATCTTGTACAGATAAAGTGAGGAAATATCCCCTTTTGACCACCAAAGCAAAAGAGTTGCATACACAAGAATGTGAAATCTCGCTTGGGCTATACACCAGATACTGATAAACCAAAGGTGAAAATGAACTGTGAGTGAAACAGTCCATTTGGCCATAATTAACAGAATAACAGAGTTGGAAATGACTTTGTAGGTCATCTAGTCCAACCCCTGTTCAAGCAGAAGACCCTATACCATTTCTGACAAAAGGCTGTCTAGATTCTTCTTGAAAGTCTCCAGTGTTGAAACTTCCACAACTTCGGAATAAAATCTGTTCTATTGATCCACTGTTCTCACTGTTAGAAAATATATCCTTATTTCTAGCTTGAATCTCTTTTTGATCAGTTTCCATCCATTGTTTCTTGTTTGGCCTTTAGGTGCTTTTGGGGAGTTTTACCCATTTATTTCCTAATGAGGCACTTCAAGAAAATCAGGCCCTGTCAGCAGTACTGTTTTCATAGTGGCATCTTTATTAGTCAAATAATTTATTACTTATTACATGGTTGAATATTCAGTCTCTGTCCTTTAGTGTTTTGCAAAAGCCTAGTCCAGAACCACCTTTTCTGATTGTTGTATCCGTTTCGTATGTTAATCTTCCAGCAAATGTCCTATAAATATTTGTGTGCAAATGAGCTAGAGGTTGAAAAAACAATATCAGTTCCGTGGATGCAAGCTAAAACTTACTTGGAAATCTTCTCCTACTTTGTTAAGGGCAATGTTGATGGTAAATGTAGATGAGTCATGATGAGGTCTGAGAGAGCGCTGTCTTTCAGTAGTATATTTCACAACAAAATTCAACATGGCATGACCCTGAAAAAAAAATGCATAAAGAATTTAAAAGGCATGCTGTAAGTTGTCATGAGAGGATTAATCAGTTTTCAACGCTCCAAGACTGGACTTGGAGTTTTTAAAGAAGAGATTGGACAACCATTTGTCTGAAATGGTATAGGGTTTCCTGCTTGATCAGGAGATTGGACTAGAAGACCTCCAAGGGCCCCTTCCAACTCTGTTATTCTGTTACTTGGTCAGTATATGTTAGGTTAGTATATGTTCTATTATTATTACTACTAAGAAAGTTGCTGTTATTATTTATGAATAATAAGTATTAACTGTAAGTAATAGTATTATTCATATTCATATGGACTCAGTGCATAATCTCTGCATGAATAACTTCTGTTCAATGATCATGTGGCAGTCATGGCTAGGGAAGCTTTTGCTCAACTTCATGTTGTGCACCAATTGAACTCCTTCCTAGAACTCCTTCCTTTCTGTCACTCATGCCATGGTTATCTCCCATATGGACTACTGCAATGCATGCTACATGAAGCTACCCTTGAAGAGTATCCAGAAGCTGCAGTTGTTACAGAATACAAATTTTAGGTGTCCCTAAAATTACACACATAACGCCTCAGTTCCATGAGCTGTATATGAGCCGAGGTGGCACAGTAGTTAAATGCAGCACTGCAGGCTACTTCAGCTGACTGCAGTTCTGCAGTTCGGCTGTTCAAATCTCACCGGCTCAAGGTTGACTTAGCCTTCCATCCTTCCGAGGTGGGTAAAATGAGGACCCGGATTGTTGTTGGGGGTAATATGCTGACTCTGTAAACCGCTTAGAGATGGCTGAAAGCCCTATGAAGCGGTATAGAAGTCTAACTGCTATTGCTATTGCTATAGGTTGCTTCCAACTCCAATTCAAGATGTTGGTTATTATGTTAAAGCCCTTCATGACAAAGGACCAGAGGTGGGCTTCACATAATTTAACAACCAGTACTCCTAGTGCACAACCGAAAATGTGAGTGTTCGCTTTCAAACACACAGCGATTTCATGTGAGCAGCTTCCATCACATCTTCTCTGGCAGCCACAGTGATCAGAGCAGGCGAGGTGTGAAAATCAGTTACTCTGTTTCGGCAGGGCAAGCAAGCCAGAGAATGAGATATATAGGATAGGATAGCACGGGGCAGGCCCAGACAACATCGGGAATAGCAGTTCACTCGAACCGGTGCGAACCGGCAGCAGGCCACTTCTACATAGGACCATGTTACAGGAGGAATTCTTTTATCTCTATGTCATCAACCCTTCACTCCCAGACAAGCAGGGAGGGTACATTGCATACCCTGTCAGTTAAAGAATTTTGACTGGTAGCATTTAGGAAGAGAGAATGCTCCTTGCCCTATGGAACGCATTGCCCCCAAGGTTCCGTGTTCTTTTTAAAAAAAAATGTAAACATAAAAGACAACATAAAAAAAGTCTCATCCATTACATATAGCATGTTGTTTGTTTACAAGCGTTTGTGCATCCATATTTTCAATTACATATACAATCACAGATTTTCCGTCTAATATAACTAGATACCTCACTTTCATTGTACAACATATATTCAATTACGATTAATATTTCTTTCTTTTCAATGAACCTAATTCCCTTACATTTTTGATTATCTATTTAATAACAATATACCTTTATGTAATCACTTATCTCATTCTGAATATTTTTACAGTGTAAAAGAATTTACCAACTGTTTGTTTATACATCACTACTTTCAATAAAGTTCCGTGTTCTTCCTTCTTCTGTTTCCAGAAGAGTGCCAAGACCCTTCCAAGTGGCGTGGAGAACTAAGAATGACATGCAATCTTCAGGGTGGTTGCTGCTTGAGGATGCTACCTCTACCTTTTTGAAATTTTGTAATTCTTAATTTTTAACTCTTTTTAACTATATTTTTTTAATAATGTTTCTTTCTATGTTTTTTAATTTATAAGCTATCCAGAGTTACTTAAGTGAGATGAGCAGAGCAGAAATAAGATGGAATAAATAAATAAATAAATAAATAAATAAATAATAAATGCCCAACAACACCCAATTCAATTTATTTATCTACTAAAAAGAACAATTTCATAATATGTTGTTATCATTGTTTAGCTTGTGCTTTATAGCATGAATAATTTGCTTTTTGCAGAAGAAAAGGATGGGTAACTATAGAGAAAACATGACTAGGGTTCAAAATTATTGCAGTCCTGTCTCATTTGTATCTACATATGCTTCCAGTAACAGAGAGACTGGACAAAGGGGAACAGGCATAGTGATATCACTCTTTGCATATTTGGACTCCAAATCCTGAGAATAATTAAATAAGCCACAAATAAATTTTCCTTAAATATCAGCCATAAATTATTAATAAATTAGTTCAAGCTTTAACATATGAAAAAATAAGAGTTTCAACTATGTTTCCCTCAATTACATTTTAAAATTTAACTTGCCTTTGTATAGTAGCCAGCAAATACTTTTAGGGTTACAGGTGCTATGAATTCTCTGATAAAATGCAACCACACATTTTCCAGGCCAATTTGCCTCATGTGAATGTCATCTGTTGGAACATTTTCATAGCCTCCAGAAATGCGGCTATCCTAAAACAAGATGAAATGTAGCATATTTTATATGAAATGTTTCACCTCTTTTATTACCACAGCTATAAATAAAAGAACATGGATCTTTGTAATTATTAATTCTTAACTTATTCCAATATCTAGAAACAAAATACTGCTTTATATATAGTATAAGAGTATATAAAGTATAGCCAGTAGTGGGGTTCAAATAATTTAACAACCGGTTCTCTGCCCTAATGACCAGCTGGGGTAGGCGGGCTTTGGTCATGTGACTGGGTGGGCATGGCCAAGTCAACATCACTCACGTCAATAGGTGCTTCACCTTAGCTCTTACAATGTAATAAGAGTTAACCAGAGAGGCAGTTTCTGTAAGCAGGGCAATAAAGATTAGACTAGAAACAACCCCAGAATGTTTCCTTCTTGCCTTCCTTACAGGATTAGCCCTTTAAAGTGGAAAAAAACAAAATGAGATTTCTTCTAACAACCGGTTCTCTGACCTGTTTAGAAAGTTAACAACCGGTTAACAATAGGTGCGAACTGGCTGAATCCCACCACTGAGTACAGCTCAGTTTATACAACCAAATGGCAGTTGCTTTTTATATACCGTATTTTTCAGAGTATAAGACACACCAAGATTTTGAAGAGGCAAATAAAAAAAAGTTTTTGCACTCTCCAGACATCCCAAAAACGGCCCATTTTTCATGAAAACGGGCCATTTTTTGTCAAAAAAAAGGGGCATGAATAGTCTTTAGGAGGTTTGTAGAGTGCTGCTGGGGGCTGTGGGGGCAAAAATCCTGCAGATTTTTACCCTTTTTTTGAGGGAAAAAGGTGTGTCTTATGCTCCAAAAATACGGTACATTTTATGGTGTAATCTACAATAGAGAAAGCAAAACAATTTTCCATTCAACTTGTTGATAGTTAATACATATACTTTTATTGTAAATCAGAACAGAGTTTCAAAGCCAGCATATCAAGCTCAGTACATTCAGTTTTAAATAAATCTTTCTAGTTAAACTGTCAACTGCTTAAAGAGTTTTTAGATTATTAATCATCCATTTAATAAATACACTTAACTTCCTTTAAAGGAAGTATTTCTTCTTTATTAACTTTGATATTATACCCTTGAGGGTTGCTATAAAAGTTTACTACAAATTTTATGAAAATGTAATCCGAATCAAGCTAAACCTTTATATGATTATACTGTAAGTGGCATAGAATCAAAATATTTCACAGTATTGTCTACAGAGAATATAAAACCTTTAAGAGAAGAAAAGGGAAAAGTTTTTCAGCCAGAGATTAGACTTGATGCAAAACTCTATGCAAATCTACTGCTAAAATAGTTATAATAGTCATATATTTATAAATAAGTATTAAGTTTACAATTAAAATTGCAACCTACCTTAAAGCATAGGACACATGTCCAATCTGCCTCAATATCACAGACTTTGACCAAGTTTTTCCATTTCTCCTCTGGCCTTTGTTTATGGACTTTAGCAGTGAACCAAGTGGCTAAAACTGAGTATCAGAACCCAATAGGATCTCTCCTAACATCATGCACTAACCACAATCTGTGTCAGCTATCATTTAACTTGATTTTACTTACCTTATATCAGCATTATGAATTTTAAAGCTGCTATTAAAACTAAAAATAAATTCTAAAAGTGTCCATGCAATGATTCTTACATGATGTTTTCCACCAGACCACTGTCCAAAGTGTTCCATTTCCTCTACTAATTCATTGCAGGCTGTTTCGGAAAATATGGGGAACCAAAACACATCTGGGCAGGGCTATAAGTGAGAAATAAAATCCACATTCATTACAATGGATAAGCATTTGACACTGTATGCATTATTTGACAAGGCAGCCATTAGTATTTTTTTCCGCCATCTTTGATTAGTACAATAGGTTGTTTACAATTGATTGTTTACAATTTTCTACCAGCTACAATTGGAATGTATATGTCATTGTAGTTGCTGGATTTAATAAAATAGTTTTGCATAGATATAGCATATAATGCACTAGACCAGCTATGTAATTGCTCTTATGTGAAATGTATAATTATCTGGAAGGAAAAACCATCTCAGTGGTGGCTTGGGTCTGCTTGCATGAAGTAGTTTCCTCTCACATGCCCACAAATATGTAGCCTTTCTGGCCCTCTTAGGTTTGAGCAAGAGAAGTTTTTCTTCTCAAGAGCCTAAATTAAGTCTATGAGACCAGCAGTTACGATAATCTGTACCAGGCTGAATCATTCTGAAATGTAACCCGAGTGACTCTACATTTGAGCTGTGTAAATGTTTGGAAAGAGATTATTTACAACATATGGGAATCCATATGAAACAGGGGTCTTTGAAACACTAAAGCAGCTGTATCTTTACATGGGCTCACACAACTTTTTCTACATCTCCATATGCAAGTAGAGACACAGCCACTTCACTTTTTATGCATGCTTTGGAAGGAGGGATTTTTATATACTCCCCTCCCAAAGCTGACTAAAAATGCTTCCAGGATGTGTGATTTTCACGCACATTGCACATTAACTGCAGTGTTTGCTGATGTTACCCTGCCTGAAATATCTTCAGGGCTGACTTGAACTGGCTCTAGGGTGAGTAGCTTCAGCCAGCACTTCTCTGACTGCTGCAGCTTTTTCTTAAGTTGCCTAGAATGGAAACACATTAGTTGGTGCTGCCCCTGGGCCGCCTTCTGCAAGAAGAGTCCTGTAGGGGGAAAGCTGACAATGAGTGTGGAACAGTGCAAAGCAACAAGGCTGCTTATTAGTTAGAAACAAAGGGGCCAGAACATGGGTACTTCTTAATTAGAAGCCAGTGGTCATGAAAACTTGCAGGGTAGTTTTGAAGAACTCCTTTGCTCAATGTTTGCTTATTTGTTGCCAAAGCAAAGCTCCCCTTCAACGAGTGTACAGTCCTGCTATGTTATAAAACAACAACACATCTCATATAAGCTCACAGGGTGATATTTTTCTAGCCTTAGGGTCAGATTGTGTTGTGAAGAGTCAGATTGTTTGTTAACAGTAAACTGAACAGTAACATAACGGTGGAGTCCTTGGTGCGCTCTTAGTTTGGTTGCAGAACAAACAGTAGCAGAAATGTGATTTCTGCTTTATTGTGGAATAAGAAGGAAGGTAACATATACATTAAGTTCCCTAAATTCAGACCAACTATACTTTTGTAACTATAGCACATGACAAAATGTTTCCATTTGGTTTCCCTGAAACACCACAAGACTCTCTGCACTGACAGTACAAACGTATGTACAAATACAGACTCCCATATAACATATGTAATTCACATGTGGTTGCATTTCCAACAAACCAAAGCATACCCGGGAATGAATTGCTGTTCTTGAACCTTTTTCTCTTGTCACCACACAGAAACATTTTTCTTATCACTCTCCAGAGAGAGAAGGGGGGAGGGGGGAGAGGGAGAGGGGGAGGGAGGGAGACAGATTGGATGGGGCTTGACATTATGGGATTTAGAAGGCCAGTTTTGGGAAATGGAAACAGAATTGTGAATTAAAGACATTCCTTTTCAAAAAGTTTTCTAAGAGCCAGAAGAAAAACCACATATAATTATACAAAAATGTCTATAGGATACTCCTTAAGCATCAGTAAATTAATAATACCAACTTCATATTAAACATTTAGAACAGCAGTACTCTTAATCATGCATTTAAAATTACATTGTAATACTTTCATTGAGGAGAATTTCAAATTACCTGTTCTACTATACTTTCAGTAAAGATTTTTGAATAGTTGGGATTTATGTAACTTTCCTTCCAATCCTGCAAAATAAAGTTGGGGGGGAGGGGAGAATCATACATGAATTACTTTTAATGTTTCAATGCTCAAAGCATCAGATAATTTTTCACACTGAATATGGGTGTGTATAATATACACAAAAGATGATTTCACACACACACACACACACACACACACATGGCTGAAAACTATTTCAATTCATAATTCAATACGTACCATTGGATTTTCAAAGATCTGCCAGAGGTCATTGTTGTAATGAGAAGTATTGTAGTTAGCAGTTGATACAAGTCTCCCAAATTCATGTCTGTTAGTGAGGTACATAAATATTCCCTATTATTAGGGAGCAGGGAAAAATATGTTAGTGATTATGTATAATTTAAAATATTGAAAAAAACTATCAGCTACATATGGATCAAGGTCACTGAAATCAGTGGGACCCAAAATATAATTTAACTTATCAGTGTTCACAAGATTACTTTATATATTTCCCTTTGTTCACTTTTTTGCTTGTTCAAGACTTGCTAACTAAAGTGCTGCGCTTTAAATCAGCACAACTTATTTTATGGAAATCAAATGGGTTAAGAAATGGGTAAATTGACTCTACTTAGGAAGTGAGCAAGCATGGATTTTAACATATATACAACCTATTCAGTTTTATCTCATATGTAGCACATATTTGCAGTGAAAAGCAATAATAGTTTGTTGTACCCTTCTGTTATAAAAATACACCGCACCACTGTCCAGTTTTATGTTCCATTACTTTTGATGGGAAGCATTACCATAGAACTGGAGAAATGCAGTGGTAACACATGCTTCTAACACAGGTGTATTTAAAAGTATGAGATTATGTCTCATGGAAAATGAAAAAAATAATAATACTACAAGCATTCTTTGTTATTACAGCACAAAAGAGTCAAATTTATATCAAAAGAGTCAGGAAGAAACCTGCTATGGAAGAAGAGGTTTTCAGGACCAAAAATGGACAAGAATAATTGTGTAATTCAACATAAACAACAATAGTGAATAACACTCAGTTATAATTATAAAAAAACCCTCAAACTAGATTTTTCTGATATCCACTTGAATTTTATTTTGAATTTTTTATTGTGCATACATTAATGTTAATTTTAAAAGTTAACATCTTGTCACTCTATGGTCTAAAAATAAGAACCACTCTCGGGCAATATGGTGTGATTTCATATTCATGAACTGAGGAACAAATTTAGCACTTCAAACAGCAGATAAAAGTGATATAAAAATTATTAAGCCTCAATGAAAAATTATCCAAAATCCCATAAAATTTTTGTAACTGAAATTGTACTGTAATGGAGCATAATAACCTATATCTGCTGCTATTGCTAGAATAATAACTTAAATGTATTACTTTAATATAGATTGACTTCTACCGTTGGATGAGCAAATTTGGTTTACATTTTAATACCCATGTTTCGCTGAAAATAAAACCGGGTCTTATTTTCTTTTCAGCATGAAAATAAGCATTTGGGCTTATTTTGGAGGAGGTCTTACTATTTTGAGATACAGGAGGTGGCAAGCGCAGTCACCACATGGCTGCTGGGCCCTTAACCGTGGCCCATGGATCAGCTGATCCAGTAAGGGCCAGTTCTGTCTCTCTGGGTGCCTGGAGATATTTCCAACGCACACTTGCTAGCCCAGCCCTGCCCACAGCGCCAGGCAACCTTGCAGCCAAGAGTCCCTCTCTTCCACCGCTCACCTTGTGGCTATGGAGCAAGCGGCGACCATGGTTTGCGCTATGCTAGGCCTGATGTTGCTTAGGCTGCTGTATGATGAGGCAGAAAGCCATGTGGCCTGTTGGAATCTCACCTCCTCCCCTCCGTCCCTGGCCTCTACCTGGCTACTGCTTGAGAAAAGGACAGGCAATTGTGGACGATTGTGTGAATGTGTGCATGCTCATATTTGCGAACCAGTAAGGAAGATAAGTGAATACTACGCCTGGTCTGCTGACTCTATTTTCCATGCTACACTGTGTTGCTAACAGATTGCTAGGCATCCTGGCTCAGCTTTGCTTTCAACAAGCTTACACAATTTCAGAAAAATTAACAATTAGTTCTTGTGAGCAGAGCAAGCCAGCTCTGAAACACGACTGTAATTGTAGAGCATCTCTCAATAAGAGCTAAAGAAGGCTGAAGGGAAATGTAAGCAGCTTAGACCCTAATGCTGGAAGTTATAGCACTAACATGTGGCATCACCATCACCACTACATCACTTTATTAGTGTCAAAAAAGAAGTATCGAGACATGTCTAAAAAAACTAACTGATATATCACTATGTAAACAGTAGTAATAACTTGTTCCTTTCCACCAGTTAGTTCTGTTGATTGTTTAGATGTGTTAATCACACAGTATCTGTTAACCACACTGTCTGGCAGCCTATAACTCAAGAATGCCAAGTGTCTTTCAATTTCCCTTTCTGTAAGCTATGTTTCTTGATTACATACTCTAACCCAGTGTTTCTCAACCTTGGTAACTTGAAGATGTCCAGACTTCAACTTCCAGAATTCCCCAGTCAGCGAATGCTGGGTGGGGAATTCTGGGAGTTGAAGTCTGGACATCTTCAAGTTGCCAAGGTTGAGAAACACTGCCCTAACCCATTTAACCATACAGTGTCTGTCTTACGTTTAACACCCAGAGAGGAAAAACGTGTTCTTCTCCAACATTTAGTAACCTTTTAAAAATTCAGTGAGCCCTCCATGTGGATAATCCATCATTGCCCTACACTCAATTTGGTTTTTAAAAACATTATTAAATAAACTTCCTGTTTTAATACCTTTCATTGCTCTACATGATATAGACTGAGTTTGTAAAAACTGTAGACGTGGGCCAGAAGCTGAAGACATTTTTTTTTAAAAAAGGGTATCCATTGTATTGAAATAAAAGATTAAAAATATGAAACCTTTGGGGGGCTGAGCATATGGAAGGTCTCCACAGAAGGGGAGTCTTTTTCCCTCTGTATGGTCTAAAATGAAGGAGGAGAAGCAGCACATCAGTTGACCTTTCGTTGCTCTCTTTCACATTGTTAGAGCTGTATTAGGATTTCCGCTGCCATGTTAGATAAACAACATTCTTTTATCAAAAGCTGGTAAAGGATTGTTACAAACAACATGCAGCTTCAAGCAAAGCTACTCATGTATGGGTTAAAAGCTTGATCTGTCAGCTCTACAAGTACTGCAATTAAAAGAAAAAAAATGTGCTGAGCCACAGAACAAGGGTGTTTTGTTCTTCTTCTTTTTTTCATGAACCATGAAATGGAGTTAGATTTAATGAACAAGAGCACATGGCAAGCATAGACTGTTGCAAACAAGATGATATTGACTGGGGTATACTGTACAATGAGTATGAATAAAATAAAATCATGCCTTGTTAAAGAAGGGAAGAAACTTTAATACTTGCCAGCTTTTCTTGTTCAATTCAGCAAAATTATTTTTCAATGCTACATTGCCTGGAAATAGCTGTCATATGTTTCTGCTCTGGAACTAATGTAAATATCAGTACAAATTACAGATTTACAGTTGTATTCCAGTGATGTTCACATGTGTTCTTAAAATATTACCATCTATTCAATACTATTAACAGTTTTATTGCTTTTGTTTGATAAAATTCAATCAGCTTTGCAATCATAAAATTAATGGCAGTTTTACAATGCAACACTGGGACATTAGTATAATCCAATATTGTACTAATATGTATATAGTGGTTAGCATCAGGGTATTTTTTTATAGCTAATAATAATTTCAATTTATAAAATGGCAAATAACTATCTATAATTATACCACATGGAGTGGATTTTTGATTCATTATGTTAAAAAAATAATTTTGCATCCAAAACTAGGCAGCCTAATTATAAATGTTTAAGAATACATAAAAATGATTTATTTTAAGTTAAATGGCTGCCAAGTTGAACAAAAGCTCAAAAAATTGGCTAGTATTTTTTTTGTGAAAAGAAGAAAAAAGGTGACAATCAACTTGAAACATCACATGCATCTTACCATTTCCCGGGCATTCCTGCACATAGCCATATCAGAATCCAAGTTTTCACGACCAAAATAATTTATTTCCTTCATCTCGGATCTGAGAGTCTGTCCTTTGATCAAGTATATGTTAGCCACAAAAGGGATATTCCAGACACCTCTATGGAGAAAAAAGTGACAGAATGATTGGAATTGAAATAGTCTTTCAGTTCGGCAAAGTTTTGGACCATCATCCCCTTGCTTCTCTTTTAACTTGACTGATCAAATACTGTCAAACTTTAACTTTTATTTCTACTTAATATGAAGTGGGACACTATAGTTAAAAGCTTTGGAATGCAACAAGAAGATAACCAGCTTCCTTAGTGATTTCTATTTTGATTTCTTCCAAAATTGTTAACTTTGAGAAGATAAAGAAACTATACTTGATGAAATTTGCATGTAAATTTATTACAACAAGGTAAACTCCAACAAACATATTTCTTCTTATGATTCAGCCTGAACAATATCGTTTATCAATTTTACAAGTTGCAATCAGAGGTGTGTTGCTCCTGGTTCGGTCTGGTTCAGCCAAACTGGTAATGGAATTCAGGCCTGGGGTTGCAGAATTGGCAGCAAACCAGGCCTGCCCCGCCCCCAAACCAGTTGCCTCCTGACACTGGGTTGCTGCCATTTCGGTTTTTAGTGACTGCGCATGCACAGTTCACTGTAAATTGTTCTGTGCATGTGCGAAGAACAATTTACACTGAATAGCACACACACATTCAGTACATGTTTGGTGCCCTAGGGGTTGCAAACCGGTAGTAAAACCGGCAGCAACCCACCCCTGATTGCAATGCTCAGTTTCTATCTTCTATTTGAACATTGTTTTGCCAATTAATAACTGCAGAGATATAAAAACTGCATTAGCAGCATAATCTGTTTGCTGTAGTTAGCCTATCAATGAACCGGAATAAAACTATGATATGAAGACAATCATTTTCATGGTTGTTACTCTGCTTTGGAAGAAGTTCATAAAGCATTGCTGAATTTTACAGAACACTTGATCCTTTCCAAGGAAATCAATTTCTTGTAGAATATCTGAAAATGAAATACACATTGTAAACAATTCTGAAATTAATTTCCATAAGTAGCAGTAATTTGTTCCATGTCCCAGCACACTGCTTCATACAAAAACAGTTTTATAAAATTCAACAATCCAAAGGAAATACTAATTATTTTAATTGTAATTCATAATTGAGTCAACAAATAAAGAGTATTTAACTTTTCAACTTGTGACACACGCTTATACTTTTTAAAATTAATGACAATTCATAGTTTACAAAAGCACACTGCTCATAATTAACTTCACATTATTTACATGAATATTTCTTAAAAAGCTTCCAGTGAACATTTGCCATAACTTTCACAAATTAGTAATTGTTAAATAAATGGCCTAGTTAGGCAAGAAAGGATTATATCACTCCCTGTAATAGGCATGATTTGATGGTAATATGCAAAATATTTTGATGTAATCATTTCAAATTTGAAACCACCCATTTTGAATGTGTGAAGCAATCCCAAAGTGATATTTTAGAAATGATCAAGAAGCTTTTGAAATACTTGAAAAGGAGCCAATGTCACACAGAAAATGTGCTGTTGTTCAGTCGCTAAGTTGTATCTGACTCTTCATGACCTCATGTACCACAACGCACCAGGCCGCCCTGTCCTCCACAATCTCTCAGAGGTGGCCAAATTCATGTTCATTGCATCCATGAGACTATCAAACCAGGGGTGGGTTGCTGCTGATGTTGCTGTCAGTTTGCTTCATGTGCACTTTGCATGCGCAGAACATTAAAAAATTACTAAAAAAGATGCCGGCAATGGCGTGGCCAGCCTGGTTCGCTGCCAGTTCAGGCAACCAAGGCCAAAATATCACTACTGGTTCACCTGAACAGGTGTGAACCAGTAGCAACCCACCTCTGTATCAAACCATCTCACTCTATGTTGCCCCCTTATACCTTTGTCTTCCATCTTTCCCAACAACGTGGTCTTTTCCAAAGAGTCCAAAGAGTCCTCTCTTCTCCTTTGATGGCCAAAATATTTGAGCTTCAACTTACACACATACACACACACACAAATTGGCTATTTTAAATTGAACATGACATTGAAATAATTTGCACATCTTTTTTCTTCATTATTCAACCCTTCCGTAAAGAAAAATGCAACATGTATTTAACAAGTTTATTAAAAATGTTTATATTAGAAACCACAAAACAGTTCCCATCTAAGATCTTTGAATATAAGGCTAACTTACATTCTGTTTCCTTGGATAATATCTATGTAGTCTTCAGATCGTGCATAATACCCATCAGCACTTAATGCACCCCAAAAGTTAGACCAGAGTTTCCCATGACGTGTTACAAGAGGTGCAATTATCTTTCTGTAAATAAACAGAAGGAAATATGACTAGATTGGAAATTAACAATGGAGGCTAGCATAATAACATTAATAACAGAGCATAATATTCACCTGTGCCCTGGTCACCTCATGATTGAATTACTGCAATGTGCTCTACATGGGGTTGCCTTTGAAGACCATCCAAAATCTATGGCTAAAATGCAGTGGCACAAGCAGTAATGGGCATTTTGCAGTATGCCCATATATCACCACTGTTAAGTAAGATAAATTAGCTCTCAGTTGGCTTTTGAGTGCAATATAAGATGCTGGTTACTACCTATAGAACTTATATGGCGCAGGGGTTGGATATCTAAGAGACTACTTATTTCCAAAAAATTCTGCCCACCTAGTACATTCCAGTAGTGTGCGTGTGCTCAAAGTCCCCCTCTCTTAAACTTTGCTGTCTTGTGGGACCTAGGAAACATGCCTTTTCTGGCCCCACACGGTGGAACAGGATTTTCCCATACATAAGTATGGCATCACCTTTTTAGAGTTCTGGAAAGCTTTGAAAACCTGGATTTGGTCCCAAGCCTAGTTTTTGTTTTGTTTGTTTGTTTGTTTGTTTGTTTGTTTGTTTGTTTGTTTGTTTGATGGCTCATGTTTGTCATTATTTCTTGGGATTATTTTAGACCAAATTAGTCTGGGCAGTCTAATTCAATGTTTTTAATTATATTTCTGTTTTTCTGCTGCTCAAAGTACACTGATGTTGGGTGGTAAATAAATCTAAATATATAACAAGCAAGCAAGCAAACAAACAAACAAACAAATGATATTTATAGAGCTGATGTGGTTCCCATCTTCAAAAAATGGAAAAAAGGAAACAGATCCAGGAAACTACAGACCTATCAGCCTGACCTCAATACCAGGAAAGATTCTGGAAAAGATAATCAAGCAACAAATTAACGAACACCTAGAAGCAAACAAAGTAATAGCCAAAAGCAGACATGGGTTTGTCAAAAACAGATCATGCCAGACTAATCTTATTGCATTCTTTGACAAAGTGACAAAATTAGTGGACCAGAGGAATGCCGTCGATATAATTTACTCGGACTTCAGTAAGGCATTTGATAAGATAGACCATAACCTACTACTAGATAAAGTAGAAGAATGTGGGTTAGACAGCATCACCACCAGATGGATTCATAACTGGCTGACCAACCACACTTAAAGTGTAATCCTCAATGGAACTGCATCTTCATGGAGGGAAGTATGCAGTGGAGTACGCCAAGGCTCTGTTTTAGGGCCAGTACTCTTCAACATCTTCATCAATGATTTAGATAAGGGAATAACTGAGGAACTCATCAAATTTGCAGATGACACCAAACTGGCAGGAATAGCCAACACTCCAGAAGATAGCTAAAGATACAGAAGGATCTTGACAAATTTGAACATTGGGCACTATCTAATAAAATGAAATTCAATGGTGAAAAGAGTAAGGTTCTATATTTAGCCAACAAAAACAAAATGCACAGGTACAGTATAGGTGGTACCTTGCTCAACAGTAGTAACTGTGAAAGGGATCTTGGAGTCCTAGTGGACAACCATTTAAATATGAGCCAGCAGTGAGCAACAACTGCCAAAAAAGCCAACACAGTTCTAGGCTACATAAACAGAGGGATAGAATCAAGATCACGTGAAATGTTAATACCACTTTATAATGCCTTGGTAAGGCCACACTTGTAATACTGCATTCAGTTTTGGTCACCACGATGTAGAAAAGATGCGGAGACTCTAGAAAGAGTGCAGAGAAGAGCAACAAAGATGATTAGGGGACTGGAAAGTAAAACATATGAAGAACGGTTGCAAGAACTGGGTATGTCTAGTTTAATGAAAAGAAGGACTAGGGGAGACATGATAGCAGTGTTCCAATATCTCAGGGGTTGCCACAAAGAAGTGGGAGTCAAACTATTTTCCAAGGCACCTGTAACAAGAAGCAATGGGTGGGAACTAATCAAGGAGAAAAGTAACTTAGAACTGAGGAGAAATTTCCTGAACAATTAATAAGTGGAACAGCTTGCCTCCAGAAGTTGTGAATGAAGTTTTTAAGAAGAAGATGTTGGATAGCCATTTGTCTGAAATGGTATAGGGTTTCCTGCCTATGCAGGGGGGTGGACTAGAAGACCTCCAAGGTCCCTTCCAACTCTGCTATTGTATTGTATTATAAGATTCCAGTAGGAATTTATCCTGATAGTCACTGGATTCAAATACTTTTGCCCAGTGAAAGCTGGAAATTCTACATTGTACCACGTTCATCCTAGATTCATACACAAAGATTTATAAATATTACAGAAACAAAGAATTATTTGAAATATCATAACTTCATAACTGACAGCTAAATTCATGATATACAGCTACTGTATAAGACCTCAGATATTAATTCCGGCATTTACATTGGAACAACTGAGATAGCTAGAAAACTCTTCCAAAGTTTCCTGCCCAAGTAGACCATGCTGGCTGAGATGGATTAATGGTTGCTATTAACTGTTCATTGCTGTGTAATGAAATGGATTCTTATATTTAGAAGCAAATTCTTTTCAAATACAAAAGCTGTGTAAATGGTTTTTGAACAAGTTCCTGAAAAAAAATTACTGAGAAGGAAATACCATATATTTAGCAGACAGTAATCTTAGTGAAATCTTGTTCACTAAGAGATGTTGACACAGAAAAATGGTAGTATTAGGATTTTCTCTAACACACACTAAAACTAAAGCTGTTTCAAAAAATCATTAAACATATCCAAATGAAAAAATTGAGATTAGATTTAATAATGTTCTCAAACCCCAACCAATTCTCCCCATTTTAAACATACCTATTTTGTTCTATTAGAAGCTTCAGAATATTTGGATTTGTTAAAATAACATCTGCATCAATGCTGAAATAGTAGTCACATTCTTTATTCTGTCGACAAATATCCCTTGAAAAATAGAATAGACAACAAAGCCATAAGGATTTATAAACAAGCCAACATCCAAATTATTCACAATATCTGTAGATATGTATGTATGTAAGCAGAACTGAAATATTATAACATATTATATCATATATATCATGTTATGTTATGTTACGTTATATTATATTATTAAACTATATTTAAAGTTAATTATTCAGAAAAAAAAATTAGTGAGAAGATTAAATAAAAAAACCCAAGTTGTTACAAGTCAAATGCTAGATAAAGTACTGCAAAATAAGCATTCAGCGGTAAGACCACTGTGGTTTCTCATGGATCTGATAATAAATCAGAGTATGATTCAGAAATGAATTTTGCAACTGTCTGAAAAATTATTCGTCTGCAATAATTATTCAGATGACCTTTACAGTAATCTTAAAAATAAGCTATCCAACTTTTGAAATGGAAAAATGACTCAAACAACATTGCCTCTGCATTAGATCTTTTCTTGGCTATGACGGAATGTCAGGAGAATGTGGAACTATTACAAACAAGATCTAAATTATGGGAAAGTAGAAAGAGTGTCTTCTTGGGTTTGGTGCATCAGCTGGAGTAGAAAGGGACTTTGAAAGGGTTTCAGAGTTCTGTAACTATATCCTAATTGCATTAAACTACTTTCCAAGATGCCAAGTAACTTCTGCTTCCTGAAAGAATTAAGTTTAAAGCATCCAAATAATACAAACTACAGTACTAATAAAAGAGAATATCTGTAGCTTAGGATTGATAAGAGGGGACCTCAGTGCTCTGTGAGCTTGCTTGTTTTCTTGCAGGCATTTCATTCCCAGCCTAGGGAAGCCCTCTTATCAATCCTAAGCACCAAGGACCTCTCGTGCTACAGTGCATTTGCTATTGTAGTAGCATTCCAGAGAGGATGTAGAAAGCAAAGTCAAAAGTGATCCAATGAGGGTAGGACTACTTGGGACTGTGACTTCTAAGCTGGGAGTGTGATCAAACAGATCCAGGAACATCAGACCTCTCTATCCAAAGAAGTGCAGTGCTAGGAACAGCTACGAATAGCTAAGATAATGAGCAGAACTCTCAAACTCCCAGGGCTCTCATATAGGAATTGAGACTGAAGAGGACAGAGTCTGCCGCCCATGGAGGTTGAGAAGGAAACCTTTTGTTTAATTTTAAATAGAAATGTTATTCAAATATGTACAAAAAGAGAGATCTTCTGAGGCTTTTTTTAATGGCAGAAGATATGAAATACTCTTTCCAGAGAAACAGAACTTATGCCTATTTTAATAGCTATTCAGAGCAGATCAAGACAGCTTTATAATCTTGCCTTTTTGTTGAATGCTTTACTCCGTGTCTATTGATTCCCTATTTTTGTTGGGAAATGTGATTTTTAAATTTTTGTTTCATTGTTATTACTTGTTTAAGTATTTCTGAATATTGAATTTAAAAGAAAGTTGCTTTCAAGGTTTGTGAAGAAATTTGATAAAATAAACTGAAAATAATGAAGTTAGCAGACAGGCTGATGAATAATGCATCCCATCTGCTCTGTTTCAATATATTTCTCTAACATCCTGAAAAATGTATAAATTAAGCAATCCCACAAAGAAAAAATGTGTATGAACACATAACTGATGTACTTAATTAAAACAATTCTTTATATATATATCCTTTGTATATATTTATTCATGTGAATAAAACCGTCTAATCAAGATCATTATATCTTCTAATATATGCACTGGAAGGATAAATAATTAAAATTAAATTACATTCCCATGTTCCTGGCATTGGCTTGACTCAGATTTTCTTCAGGTCCAACAATTTTTATAGTTTTAATTATATTCTTGGCTTTTTCCCAAAAGTATTTTATATCCTTTTCATGATAAACCTCCTGGAAATGTTTTAAGAGAGAGAATTAATGAGAAATTAGTAAAACTATACAAGAACTAAACATGCAGTAAAATAAACAGCAGGCAAAATGGAAACTGAAATGGGATCTCTAGAAATGTGGCACAGATTATAAATGGATTATTCTTACTACAAAATTTTTATGCCATATTTTTCCTCAGAAAAATTTAGACAAGAGTGGGAGTTTATCCCATGAGATCATATGGAATACGCACAGATACAGACAGACAGAAAGACACACACACACACACACACACACACACACACACTTATTCTAAATATAGAAATAAACATCCCATGAAAAAGATGATGGTCCTTCAACTGCATAGTGACAACAGTCACTTTCCCATTCTTCCCATTTATTGATGCTTTTACTGCTGCCTGCAGTCTTAGAATCTACTCTCCAAATACCATTACTTTAAAATAACATTGAAATTGCACCAGCTTTGGCTCTATTTTCTCAATTTAATGACATTCAACAGGAAAATAAAAAGGGATTCAGTTCTCAGACCTGATCCTTTGGTAAAAGTGGATAGTAGGATGTTCAGGATGCAGATAATAATTCAAATAAAATATTCACCCAGACTGATAACACAATGTTTACTTCCATCTATCTCTACATTCCGTAGTTAGATTGAAAAAAGTCCCTAAACCAGGGGTATTAAACTTACGGCCTCTAAGCTGGATACATCATGCGCTGGCCATGCCCACACACCCAGTTTAGCAAAGGGGGAAAAGTCATGATACGTCACATGACAATTATGTGATGATGTGAGTTTGACACCACCCTAAACAGTTGGGCTAAATTGAGTCATTTACTGATTTACAAAAATTACAATTAAGTGCCTATTTATAAAATACTTACATTATTATGAATGAATATGCTAAGTTTTTCTTTTGCATATTCCAGATTCAATATTCTGTCTAAACACTTTGATAGGAAAGGCGTTGGTTGTTCAATGAAAATCCCAATTGTTACTGCTGGCACCTCCTAAAAACAATAAGAGTAAAGGTACAGAATGAAAAGAACTGACTTCAAAATCTTTTATTTTAAGAACAATGAACTACTATTATGGACTTTGAAAAAAGACACCTTCTCCTGAATTAGTATTTTCCACACATTACTAAATACTTTAAATTATACCAAATAATTGATGCATTATATGTATTTATAAACTACCATAATAATTAGTTTTGCCTGAAATCCTTTAACTATTTACCTAGGAATAAGTTCTATTGGATTTCCTGGAGCTTAACTGTTTAGACATGTATAAGATTTCGTAGTAATAATATGGGTGCATAGTTTTCAAGGCTTTTATATAAACTATGGAGGGATCCATTCTCAATTTCAAGTGTTGATTTTAATCTTTCTAAAACATAATATAGAATGGCAATCTGAGAGGGAGAAGAGATTATACATTATTAGGTGTGGCTTTCCAATACCAATATCAGTAAAGTGGTCTGAGACCAAAGTTAAAACGCAAAAAGTAAAATATGACATTTAGGTAAAATCACTAGGATTGCATTTGCAAATCCTTTAATTAAAAATAGACAATGCCATCATATAGAATAAATCTTAAAATCACTGATACTATTCTTCATCTTGAAATACAGGTTTATGTCAATTGGAAATGTTGAGAATTTCCCTGTATCTGTTTCAGTTTAATCTCTCTTAATACTATTCACAAAATAACAACAACAGCAACAGCTATGTAATATTTATATTTGTATGGTAATTTTATGTGGTAGGTTGTAACAAACCAGCATAGTCTTACCTAGTTTGGTAATGAAATGTCTTCAAGAAGAGAAGCAAGCTCAGAGAATAAAGAACCTGAAATTCTGCCATAGTTGTCTCTTAGGGTAAATGTTAGTGCTGTGCCTCTGACTGAAAACTAAGCACTGTCCAGAGTAACATGCCATGAAGGAGGGGGCCTTGCGTACATTATTCACTTCTTTCTAAACTTTCTATGCTTTGATCAGAGAAGAGAAGGTACATTTTCTATAAAGATTAGAAAAGCTCTGACAAAACTGAGGTAGCAAAAAATCCCATTTGCAATCTTTTGCAGAATGTCCATTTGGTGTTTTCTGGGCTTTGGCGGAGGGGACTATTTTCTTCCACTTTATTATATATGGTCCATGCAGTGGTGGGTTCCTACCAGTTTGGATTGGTTTGGCCAAACCAGTAGTGGTTTGCAGCCTGGGTCGCTGGAACTGGCAGCGACCCAGGCCTTCCATGCCTCCAAATTGATTCTCCTGGTGGCGCCATAGGCACCACCATCTTGTTTTCGGTATTTTTATAGTATTGCGCATCTGCGTGCTGTGAAGCATAAACAAACCAGCAGTAGTGGCTGCCAGAACCCACCCCTGGGTCCATGAGATAAGAATTATCATGGAAACATCCACCAGGCTGTGGAGCGAGGTATTAAGTTACTGGGCTTAGGAACGAAAAAGAGTATTTTTGATAGCCAAAAGAAAGATTCTTTGCCTTCATGAGGATCCATCATTGTGCCTCAGTGATTTACCATACCGAGAAAGAGAAGCCATTAAATAGAATTGCAAGTCTCTGACAACTTGTTTTCTGCTCTTGGGTCTTTTACAATTCTGGTTCCTTGATCCAGTTTTGAAGATTTTTTGAGACATTGAACAAAGTCTGTTTTTTTAGAAGATTCTGGTGATTTGTTAGTCTTCTCATCTTAGTTAGATGAGAGACATATGGATCATGTGCAGTGATGAGTGGGAACTGGTTGCTTCCATTTTGCTTGGATGTTGCTTTTCTATCTACAATATTGGACTGTACCTTGTTCTTTTTGGCTAAGAGGTAAAAAAGAGGATATGAAAAGTTCCAAAGTGGAGGTTCATATTTTTTTTCCACACTTCCCTCGCTGCTCCCCCCCGCAAAGACTGTTAGTGTCTGTTATGGGCTCAATCCAGGAAGTAACTTTAGAAATAGAAGGCCAGGACTGTCTGATGGAGAGAAAATTTTACATTCAGTCCTGAACTTCCATATAAAGTTATAATTATTTTTTACATAACAGAAATCAGTTCCCACCATCATTTTATAGATAAAATGGTAGTTAGATAGAGGAAAGAAAGATGAGAATATCTGTTGGATGCAAGGGTATGAAAGAAGAGGAGACTTCTGAAAAGACAACTGGATCATTTATATGCACAGTTCAAGTACATGCAGCATATACTTACAGACAATGTAGCTATTTCTAATAAATCTGAGTCACAGACACCACATCCTGTTTCACGATTCCAGACATTAGGTATATAATTTCCAAAGTAATTGAGATTAAGCTAGGTTAAGAATGAAAGAAGAAGAAACAATCAGGTCAATTCAATAGATTATCATTTCTAGCTTTTATATAAGATCTATTCACTTAATGGAACAAAGTGAATTTGACTATGAAATTTCATGAAATGCATTGATCTTTCTTACCACTATTGCTATGCTACTAACAAATGAACTTCTATTTTATTGCTCTTATGTGGAAAAGCTAATATTGAAATTAAGTGATTTTCACTTACTTTTGTTGGGCCATTTCCATGAAGAGTGACTGGAAGAGAATCATATATAGAATTCCTTGCTCTGGCTCTTCCATCTTCAAATTTCAGAAGAACTTCATCTGCAGCCCATCAAGAAATTAATAACATATCAACTGCTGGTTACTCAAACAAGGATAAAAAAAATTCTTGGCAGCTTCCAATGGCAATGGATTGCCATTTTTTTTTACTACTGGTTCGGACGCACGCACAACACTTCTGCACATGAGCAGAAACATTTGGGTGGATGGGCGGAGCTTCCCACCACCACTACTACCAGTTTGCCTGATCTAGGCTGAACTGGGAGCAACCCACCTCTGTTCCTAAGCATCCATAGAGTCTGACCTAATTTTGTAATTTTCTAACTACTCGTTACAAAATTCAAAAATAATATATATATATACATACATACATACATACATACATACATACATACAT